CCCTCCCCTCCCTCCTCTCTCTCTCTCTCTCTCTCTCTCTCTCTCTCTCTCTCTCTCTCTCTCTCTCCCTCCCTCTCCTTCTCCCTCTCTCTCTTACCTCGTGCTCAGCCGGTGATAATGGTCTGCTCAATTGTATTGCTGTTGGTGGACAATATAAGCACAGCATCGTCGATTCCGTGATGTGATCGACGCTTGTCAGTTCTTTCAGCGAGAATATCCGTTCTACGCTGTCCTCCGCCATGTTAACGAGTAATAAAGCCTGTCGCGTGAGGACGAGCGTCACCGCGCGATTACTGCCCTGATGAATCACGTAGTCTGCGCTGGTCACGTGGAGGATGCTGTCGTGGCTGTGATCGAGTAAAGGCGACAAGCGCCAGGTGTATCGCACGGATGTGCTGTTATTGCCGGTGGTGTATTGCACGACTGGCCTCTGACGTGGCTGCGGAAAATGCACAAAAATCGGAGTAAAATGTGGAACTATCGAAACTGGAAGGGAAGTCGTCTGTCGCTCGAGTTTACCGTGGGTAACGAATTCCATCCGGCACCTTGCAACAGCCCTTGACCCGTGAGAGCAACCAACTCCGCGGCACCGCTCAGCGGCTTCGTGACGACGCCGACTAAACCGAGTCCAACCCCGGTGACTAGACTTTTGGTCGTAGCCTCGCCCGACCACACTTGCTGCAAAGGATGGTGCGCCAGGCCCGCCACGGCCGCTGGAGTTCAATAATTAACAATTAGCTAATTTGCGTTCTGTGTACCTGTGAAATAATACTCGTAAGCAATTACCGAGCAGACTCATTCCGAGACCGGTTAAGCCTTGATAAAGTCCCTGCGCCATGCCTTGAGGACGCATTCTGCGCGACTCTTCTTGTCGCTGAAGGTGTTCCTCGTCTAACGTTAGGCGATCCAAGTTCCGTGCGACGCTAGACGCCAGTTTCGTTACAGAATTTACAGTGCCTGTATACACGAATCGAGATTCGTTAATTATATGTATTCTCTTTGAGAATGGTATTCGGAATGACGAAATTAACAGATTCTACACACACCTGCTGTGACGTGTTTCATCAGGCTGGCCGACCCGTGTGTAATTCCAACGATGAAACCCCACGGGCCTTGCAGCAGCCCTTGGAATGGCAGTGAAACAAAGTCTCTGAGTCCGGATCCAAGCGCTTGCGCCAAACCTCCCGGTGATCCGAGTATCTCTAACGATCCAACTACCCAGCCTGGTAAACAGATGTAACGTCATTGCCTGCTTATATCAAATTAATGATGCACGTAAAATATAATATTTTACATATGGACGTATTACCAACCTGCTCCGAATATGGCGCCAGATAAATAATGCATGGTAAGTGCATTACCAAGCCTGTAAGGAGTGGTCAGCAAGTTTTTCCTTTCGAAGGTACTGAAATATAATGGGGAATGATCCAGAGCGACGTAGAGTCGCATAGAAGTGTGAACGCTCAACAAAATCGACAGCGGTTCTATCACGAAGTTCTGCAATTTCAGTGGCTTGCTTAAGATTTTCGAATCGATCATGATGTAGTCTGGTATGTACATCGCGTTCGACGCAGCTATCGTTTGCATCTTTTTAAGACCGTCACCCAATACCAGTCGCGGTGGTATCATCGAAGTCGCGTAATCTAATAATTGCGTTATGTACGTGTCTTCGATGTATGCACTAATAGGCGCAATCTTCATGCGATATTCCTTTGATGCTGCAACAGAGAGAATTTCTATTATTATTATTATTATTATTATTATTTTATCATTATTTCTACTATTATTATTATTATTATTATTTTATTATTATTTCTACTATTATTCATGAAATAAATTTATATCTACTTAAAAGAAAACATTATTCGTTATCTAGATATTTCTCTTTTATTGAGACAGATGTATAATTTTGCAAATATAAAATACGTACCTATCATACTTCCATTTATTTCCCACACGTATTCGATGGCTATCAAAGAATCTTGTTTGATCTTCTCCATATTCGTCATTAAACAGTTATTACTGTAAAATGCCATATCTCTGTTCGGCAACGGATTCTGATTTATCAATACCACGGGGAAGTCGAAACCTCCCTGATCGAACAATTGATTGTCTAACTGCAAGTCGCCTATGTAACAATAGAGATTCATAAATCTGGCTTTTAAGTTTACGGTAACGACCAAGTCTGTCATGGAGAGACTGGCCACTTCGATCCTCTGTGCGTTTTCATTGATATCGTGAAGGATAACGATAGTACACGCACGCAGGTAAACGATTTCAGAACCTTCCTTCGAGTTGGTCGAGTTATTAGCGTCGTCGATGGACTTCAAACGATTCTCGTCGGTGCGAGTTTTGGTATCCGTCATCTTGGGAATCAATTGCTTCGAACCCGAGGCGGGCGTTTGTTCCGTCGTCAAGACGTCCTCTTGAGCTGAGAAGAAGCTCGTCAGCGACGTCGAGCTACTCGAGCTTTGTACGTACGGCAACAGCTTGTCCTCTTCCGATCTCTTCAGTGGCGTAGGATTATTGTACCCGGCATCGTGATCTCTCGCCGCGCTCTTCTTTCGCAGCAATCTGCTCCTGATGTCCTGGGCGGATATCTCAATTTGGGAGATCGGCACGATGCTTATGTGAGTGGTGTAGCAGCGGTTGTGCATTATGAGCTTGACATCGCCGTACGACGGTAGTCGCAGGTACTGGTCTATCGGTGTGGACGACAACGCGGACAGATTTACGCCTCTCGACCACTTCAGATTCGTCTTCCCTGCCGCCTGATCGTTTTGCACGGTGGAAAATAGCAGGACGTTCGACGCGCTCGGAACCGCAGTGTCGGGCAGCCTGTTGCTGACGCAGGGAAGGGAGTAGTGGGACGTCGCTCCGCTGTCGATTTCACATACCCACGTGAAATGAGAGCTGTCCGATAATATGTCGCTACCTCTTTCGTCGGCTTGCCCCAGCAGGATCTTGAAGCCGCAGGCGTTCTCGATCAGCAGCTGCGGATGATCGTCGCTGTGTATCACGACGTACGTGCTGCCCTTGTCCTCCTGCGTTGTCACGATGACCGGCATGGTGGAGGAGCCGTTTGGTATCACGACGGACTTGCGGCTCATAGCTTGGTCCACTCTGATCGGGCAGGACCACCTGTGGCCGAGGCTGAGAGATATGTACAGCACTAGCGGCTCGACGTTGCTCTCCGTGTGCAACGTGTACCACTGCACGATCGGCGTGCCCTGCCTCTGATCCTCGGACGGCGAGATGTTCAGGCTGCAGGGAGTGAGGTCGTGCGGCAACTGGAGATCCCGCGCCTCCTCGTGCACCGCGAGCGTGGCCACGCACAGCTCCTGCGCCGTCAGATTCGCGATCACGTGGCTGCTCGTGATCCGCACCAGACGCATGTCCTCGTGCATGGAGGAGCCGACGTTCAGGATGGACACGCTCGTGCCGCAGTCCACGGACGTCCTGATGTTCCCGTCCACCGGTACGAGGCCGCAGATTCGGGGCATGTAGAAGCTCTGGCTCCAGTCGGGTCGCGCCAGCTGCAACGTTTGGGACGTGTAGTAAGTGTCGCCGATCCCGACGCCCACGTGGAAGGTGCTCTCCAGCTTGGGCGGCGTGACTATGCCGTAGTGAGGGATCTGACAGAGCTCGGTGTCCTCGGACACCAACGAAATGTGGCAGCCCAGCGAGTTCATTATGAAGCACCAAGGCTGCAGTTCCAGCAGCAGGGTGCTGGAGACCAGCCCGGCGTCCTGGTATTTCACTTGCACGTGCGTCTGCGGCTGCTCCGCGGATATCCATTCCTCGGTGTCGTCACCCTGAAACGGCCACTTCACCTCCTCCTTCCTGTCCTTGAGCTCTCGCAGAATTTGATCGATGTCCTCGACCTCGGGTCTTCGGAAAAACTTCCGTTGGTCCACGGAGCTGTACGAGAGCGGCACGTAGGGATTCGACGCGGAGATCCCGGATTCCAATTGAAACGTCAGCTGATGGAAGTGCTCGAACGTGCCGGGGCAGTACAGCTGCTGGCACTCGCCGCGACCGTTCACCGTCGTGCTGGACAACATCTTCAGAGACGGCGTTTCCATCTGTACTTTGACCGGTACCGGTAGGTGCGATCTGATCATGTAGAGCGGACTCAATACCGCAAGGATTTTCATCTTGTCTTGTATCACCTGCGTCACGATCCGTACCCAGATACTCAAAAATTGGCCGCGTTCTTGCAGAGGTACTTTGACGAGCCACGGCTGGCCCCACTTGATGTTGGGCTGCAACGGGATGTCTCCGGTCCAGGATAAGTGCGTCAAGTTGGTGAAACGTAGCCGCATAGCCATCTTTTTGCTGTTCTCGAGCACGATGGACGATGGAAAGCTCTTGCCCGGTATGGGATATACCTCCTTGAAGACTGTCACCTTCGAGCCAACTTCTTCCTCGTATTTCACCAATTTCATCTCAAAATTATCCATCAGCTGATTGGAAATCACGAGTTGCCCCGAGAACGTTACGAGCTTCTGCGTGGCGGAAAGCGACGTAACGCTTACGAAGACCGCCGTGGCAATCATCGAGTTATTAAATTCTATCACTTGGACTCCGTCCTTGTTGACGGGAAAAGGTCGGCTCCAGACCCAGGCGTTCTCTTCGATCGATATCCTTATCATCTGATTGCCGATCTGCCGCCAGGAGTAAAAGTTACACTGCCTGCTCTCGAGAAGTATACTATCCCCAGTGCCGCTTTGACCAAAGCGTATAGGTATATTGCTATCGTTGGCTATTACGTAACGCGTTAGGACAATCACGCTCTTCTCCTCCTCGTCGAAAGACGCCAGCCACAAACGCGTGGAGACCGCGAGAGTGTGAGTTATCGCTGGTCCCAATTTCAATGTGAACGGATTGCACGTCAACGATGAGTCTATCTTCTCCGACAGCGACAGCTGAAATCTTCCCTCCAGAGCGTCCAGCACTTCCTGCATAGTTAAATGGCTATAGTCCAACACGTGTATGCTCAGGCTGCCGCCGATGTCGAGCAATATGGAGTCGTCTATCCATTTGTTGAACACCAGAACCGCTCCCTTCTGCTCCACGGACATGAAACATTGTATCTCGGGAATCTTTCCGTTTAAGGTATACTTGTCCAGTGGCGGTGGCAAATTGTTGTATACACTTGTGTCAATATGATTGTACAGAGACACATGGAGGACGCCGATGTTTAAGGCAATTTGTATGTTCGGTATTAACAAGGGATTGAAGTAGGAGTCGATGCGCAGGCAGGCGGCGAGAGCACGAGCGGAAACGATGCTTTTCGAGAGCGGTCGTTTGCCGTTGGACACAATAACCACGCGCCACACGCAAGCTACCGCTCGCGCCGGCGCCTTCTCCGGTAGATCCAATCGGTAGGAATCAGTCTCCGACAGGTAAAAATCCGCGTAACGCTGGTACGACATGTGACTATCGCTCCAGTACTCGAGAACGCAGGGAACTTTGTCGATGTAATTACCGTCGACATCTGCCGCCTGTAACGGAGAGAATTGAGAGGATAAAAATAGTTTCGCAGTTTGGAAATAATTTGGAAAATAATATATCTCAGGCATAAAACATTTTTTTTTCAAATAATGAAATAAATGCCTTTGAGTAAAAAAATAAATGTTTTATGTTTAAGCTGTGAAAAAATAAATAAATAATATAAGAATATTGTGCTCTAATATAATAAATCAAATAATGAAATAAATGCCTTTGAGAGCCGACACAGTTCTTGTGGCGTAAATGTTCCTTCATTATAAATTGCAGTTTTGATCAAAATTGATGAGGACCCAATCCAAGGGCCGAAATGTCTATTGCAATTTATAATAAAGAACCATTTACGCCACAAGAACTGCGTTGGCTCTCAAGGGCATTTATTTCATTATTTGATTTATCAGATCCTAATATTCTGATATTATTTATTTATTTTTTTTGTAACTTAAACATAAAATATTTATTTTTTCAAGCTGAATACTAGTATTGTTTAAGATATTGTGAGCAACATCACTTACTTCAAATGGAACAGGAGATATATGTATCCTTGTTAACATGCGCGGTTGTGGATACCTCCAAGCCATCGCTTGCTGAGGATAAACAAAAAATACCACCTGCAAGAAAGAAAGAGAATTAAGACTTTTTGATTTCGGTTTTATTTGTAATTTTTATGTAATCTAACTAACTTGATACGGAAAAGGCAACTCGTCCGCGGTGCCATCGACAAACTGGAATGCGCCAGCCTTGAGATCATCCTTGTAGTGTTGTTCGGTCGACAGCACAATTTGTTTCTCGTTTTTATCTTCGCTCGTAGATAACGAGGTGAACTCGCTTAGCAGTAACTGGCAATCGTGCATAACCATTTTCATAATTTTTATCTGATCCGGTCCGAAGTCGAGATACAGACTCTCGCTGTCTGCCTGTATTTGTATCTGTGGAATGATCTCGCTATTGTACGAAGACTCCCAAAGTAAACAAGTCGTTACGTTGCAACACCATGGATTTAACAGCACTTTGATATTCCCATTTAAGATAGCAGACACAATAAAAGAATCTATGGACAGATTTAAGTATATCCTGTCTGGTCTCAGGAGCGTCGACAGGTTTCCATTTAACGTTGCTAAACTGGTAATAATTTCCGCCCCGGTGTCAGTCTTCAAAGACAATACAATCTGTCTTGTATTTAAATGCAGATCAGGTACACTGAATTTCCTCGATCTTGTCGGCGCCGCTAAATTTTGAGAATCTGTACACGTAGTCTCCATCTCTGCAGATACTTGCGCAACGTCGTCGTCAGCAAAACACGATAATAACTAGAATAGAACAGATATAATGTAGATCTGTTGAAAATACACATAAATATGTTATATAATATATTCTTCGTTGAGTTACCTTATTCCGTACGTCATAGAGTTGATTGAGCCTGGATAAAGAAAGATGTACTTTCGTCGGTCGTCCCATTTCAATGAAAAACTGGCGGTTTTTGCCTAGAAGCACTTCAGATTTCACTGTCGCAAAAGAAGGCGGGATACCCGTGTCCGGATGTGGCTCGCCATGCTTCGTTTCTATCATATAAATTTTGAAATCCTTCTCGGTCGGTATCGCGTTTAGATTTTGTGCGTCGCCAAGCGCTGTCGTTATATCAAAACAAGATATCTACAAATTGTACAATAATGTTAATTGAAATAAAATATTTAAACTAGTAATAGACCATATTAATATATTAATTTTTTGTATATAAAAGTATTTGTATTTGTAAGTAAAATAATACATACTTGTATCTTTTTAGATAAATGTTGTTGAGAGAGATAAATATTTGGCTGATTGATCATTAGATAAAGTAATGGCTGTTTCACATTGTTATTATCGTCTTCACAGTCAGTTTTGTGCATATCCTGAAAACAATACTCACATATATTAATATTACAATATATATTAAAACTATAATTAAATAAATTAATTTCAATATTATAATTATTACTCACTATATTATCCTCTAAATCAACAAAAGTACTTTGGACTTCATACAAGATAAATGTTATCTTTCCACAATTTACTAAAAATTCAAACGGTGGAAGTATCATAGTTTCAACTATGGGTCTTCCCTAATAAAAAAAATTATTTTAATATAACTTTTAATATAATTTCTAAACTAAGCCATTTATATGTATATATATATATATATATATATATATACATATATATATATATATATTATATATAATCAATAACTTACAATTATTGTTGAATGCATGCTGGACATTTCAAAATCGACACCACTGTCTTTTGTAAAATCGATTTCTGAATCATCTGACGTCTGTTTCAGCCAGTTAACAGGCTTAATGCTTTGAGATCCTAAAGGAAACCTTTGAACTATGATATTAGAATTATTTTTATCATCCACCCTCTCGAAACTTCCAGAAAGTAACGTTAAAAATTCATTATTGAGCGTCGATATTAATTTAATTTGATCTAAATTTATTGTCAATTCTATGTCCGTGATGCAGTTCACTTCGACGGCGCTTCCACAGACTATTGTGTCTCCTTTAAATGTGACAGCTGGGGCAATAATCAAGCAGAGATCAAATCTAGAATTAAAATTAGAATACAATAATTATATCATACAGATTTGTACGCGTGTACATTAATTGTATAAATTTTATTACTTTGTTAATACTGAAGACGTTGAAAAGTATGGATCTAGACTACTGCCATTCCCGAGCTTATTCCACTCCAATGCTGGATTCTCGTTCATTGTATATAAGTACGATTGAGACATTCTCTGAAAATAACAATGCATCGGTTGTATCAAATCTGTATTAACGTTTCAAGATATTTTTTAAGTTTTAAGTATAAAATATCTTCTTAAAAAAAAATAACAATTTTGATAGCAAACCTTATTAATGCTTAGCTGATAGTTCTTCCAAGTGGTGGTATACGCACACACTCCTTTAATACTAATTTGATATTGACGGTCTTCTACAGCCGAGCCTGGTACGTTTAATATATTTGCTCGAGCAGCAAGTTGATATATGTCGGTTCGCAATGGAATTCTGCAAATAGGATTTTCCGCATCCGGCGTAATACGAATCCCGTCCAGCTGTACGACATACAATATCCATATAAATAAGTTCCAATATTATAAGGCTAATAAAAAAATTATGCGAAAACAAAATGATCTACCTGAAGCATCAGCAAATCGTGTTGTAATTTTCTCGTATCGGTGAAAGCCGGCATCATGAGACGAAAACCTTTGAATTCCAAATGGATCAACGGCAACGATTCGTTATTCAAGTTGGTTATGCCAACTAATGGTGTAGCCATGTTTTTATTACGGATGGATTCTGCGCTTTTCTCAACAGATGACCCGAGGCACGTAAAAGGTTTCACCAATTGAGCATATTTGCTAATTACGCTTATTGGTAAGATAATGTCGACCATCTGCATTTTGATGAGTATCTCAGAAATGTAGCCGTTCGTAGACAACGTAGAGTCAAGCAGCAACTCTTTCTAGATATTTGCGTATTAGAAAGTCATTAATTTCACAGGTAAATAGATGATCAATATTTTTCATTATAATTTAAGCATAATTGAATAATTAAGGACAATGATGGCCGTACCTTTTGAGGCTTGTAACGTTTCTGAGTGCCCCAACGTGTGTATACATTTCCGGACTTCGCACGGGTAAGCGTAAAGCTTATAAAGCCAGAATCATCGCTTTTCTCCAAATTGTCTTCCCTTCCACAGAGTACCAGCCCGGCATATTCACCAACGTCCCAATTTAATGCATGTGGAGCTCTATCGCAAATATAAATGTACAAATTAATCATTACGTAATAATAGAAATATTTTCCAAAATATTTCTTGCTTAATATGCACAGTCGTGGACATATCGGTTGAGACACTTTTTTTAATAGGTTTCAAAGCGCACTAATATTTTGCAAATGCAAACCACGATTGGTGTATTGTCTTCAGATTAAAGATAGTACACCATCGTGATTCGCATTTGCAAAATATTAGCTATAAAATATATATTATACATATTAAATATATACCAAAAATCTATGGAAAAAGTGTCCCAATCGATATATCCACAACTGTACATATAAATAAAAATTTACGGAAATTAATTTACCTAACGTAATGGAATACCGTAGCTGTTGTTATTTTACTCTTTAACTGCATGTAAACCGATTGCAAATCTAAAGATGTTATAATGTCTTCCAGTTCTAACATTAATTTTAAGGAAGGCGTGTCCTCTTGTCCCATAATGTACAATTTAATTGCTACTTTTGTTATGGTCCACTGAATCCATGCCGTTACAACTAAACCATCTTTTTCTGTAAAAATTTACATATTAATGACAAAAACAAATATAATAGATAAATATATTCAGCTTACCGTGTCCCAGATCATCTTTCGACGTAGACATAGTCGAATTGGTAGTGTCTTCTTGATACATTATTTGAGTCGGAGTGGACGGAGTTTGAGGTATAGCGGGAAGAACAATTTGCATTTCGTTGCTCATTTGTGGTACAATTACGTTGTCTCTCCGGGAACCGTACAAAGTTTTTAATATTTTTATCATATTTGAAACTATACTGCTCATAAAAATAACCTGAGGGACATAAATTGCACGTAATGTAATTTATATCCTTTCGTTGACGCAAATGTTGGAAAGAATAGATAAAAATTTTAATTAATACCTGGTCCTCCGAAAGCGAAATAATGATAGGCGAATTATCAATGTGTACACAAACGCTTAGAGCCGTGAGTGTATTTAACTCAGTCGCAGCTGTCTTAGTTGTAAGGGCTACTGTAGCATTTAGCGTAACTTTCTTTATGAAGTTCTTTTGTGTCTGCTGTTGCAAAGTGTAACAATGAAAATCGATAAGACTTAACGTCCATGGAAAACTTTGCATTCCTGAAATAGTAATAAGTTGCACTTTCTCGTAATAGCGCAATGTTTCTCTTGCTCAAGTTATAGATAAACTTACGATGTGTCCACATGGATTCCGGTAATTTAGCAGGCAGATTCTGTAGATATGGGCTTAGCATCTCGGCATTCAGATTGGATGAATGGACGAGAAGGCTTGGCAGCTTTACTATCATTATTTGTAGATCTTCATTTTCCATTAAGGCTCTGTCTTTGGCCTGTTCTATGCCTTGTAATACATTTTATTAATTATTATATGCTATAACTGTATTAATATTTATTAAAAGGCAGGAATCATCGACGGTAATAATGAGACTGTGAACAAATCTAAAGATTCTCTTTTTTTAATCTAACATAGCAATTGAAATATTTACCATCAGCCCCGATACCACTCATTGTAGCAGATGGAATGTAAATGATAATATGTCCTATGTAGCCATTTAACACAAGACTGCACCACCACGAATAGGACTCTGTTAATTTGACCAATATCCCCGATCGCTGTAAATTCTAGATCATTTATTTCTATCTTTAATATGCCATATTGTGTTAAAAAGTTCAATAAGCAGTAATCGATCGATATGATCGCTGTATCATGATATAAATAATAATTTCGAATAATTTTAATACCTGTTGTTCCGCTTCCATTTTAAATTCACTTAACTTCCTTTGCGTTTCATCATTTCGTAGCGTTTTCGATTTTTCTGTCACAGCTGATCTCTTTTTCTCCTTGTCCGACGAACTGTGCACGCTTTCATGTAGACTGGGAAACGTCTTTTTTCGCGTGCCCGTATCAGATGATGTACCTTCGGTAATCAATTGTTGACTGTCCGAACGCAATACATGTATACTTCCCGATTTGTGATATGTGGCACGATATTCCAGCCACTCGAAGAGAAGTGGATCTAGGGAAGCTCTGATCTCGGAAATTTTAAACGAAACGAGAGATGGATGTGTTTGCGTTTCAACGTTTTTAGGGAACTGGACTACAGTAGACAACAGCGGTACATTTCCTGCATCGCTAAGAATATAAGAATATAAAATTCAATTAGTCAAAAAGATTTTCTACACTTTCTAAACTATACGCTATTATATATATACAGACCTGCTGTCACGATTTTCTGGACCCGAAAGAATAAAGGCTTGTTGAGAATCGTTGAGGGCAAATATTTTTATAGAATTTATATTCACTTCATTCGATATCGTGACTGAGGATGATACATTCTTGCAATTTATATTTTCCAGATATAACTCTAAGTACACCGGACCTGTAATGTATAAAGACAATTTTATAGTTGTACGTTTTTATGATGTAAAAACTGAAAATTTATAAAATGATAAAATACAGTGTTTAATATTCCCATACATTTCTCTTGACAGGCGTCGTTAAAGAGGGTGGAACAGATAAGTGGGTTCGTTGTATCTGTAGGATTAAAGACGGAATTCACAATAGCCGTTGCAGCCATTAATTTTGCCTTAGTTCCCGTGATAGTAATACTGTCCGATTGAAAGGAATGTGACTTTTGAGTCATGTCTATGTCCCGCCAATACTGAGGATATAACAATATTTTTGAAGAAGCTTCCACCGAATAAGGCATTACTATTGAAGTATCGCAAGTTTTCGTTAAGTGGAGTTGACTCTTCACTCCAATCACCTACAAGCATTTCAATATCAATTTTAAAAATATAATAATAATACATAATAAAAAAATATTATGGCAATATTATGAATAAAATCTCACTTGTATATCGGTAATCGCATGGCACTGAGTGAACATTTCTGGTAATAGCTCCGTTAACTTTGACGCACAAGCTACGAGTCTAAATGGATACATAGGCTGTACTACAGTGGCAATTGCTTCATCGCATTCGACGCTAACAAAAGGATCGTCTGTCAGAGCTGGCGACAATGGCGTAATCTGGAAAGGACATTATTTATAAATATTTCTAAAAATGAAATAAGAAAAGGTATATAAAAGAGATACCTTACCCGAGTTTCGATAATTTTACGTTGTCGTGGCACTCCTGTAATGCAATGATCTGCCAACTGTAGCTGTAGTGACGCTCTTTTTAACACAAATTTTGTTTCTGTCATCGATACGTTTTCCCTGAGTGCTTCATATTCTTCCAACGTAACGGGAGGCAATTCATCGATAAGAGGATCTAAAATTTAAATTTAGATGTAGCTTCTATTTACAATTTATAAGAGTTTAGTTAAACCAAAATGCGTCTGTATTGGGGTACGCATATTTACCTGGTTTCATTACAAGATAAGGATTATAATCGTATTTTGCGGCAGCTTGTTTGATGGTATCAATACGATGAAAAATCCCGGAACATAATCTGATTGTTAGATCTCCAGTGACATATCTTACTACTCTGCGTTCCTGAAAATTGCTGCAAAAGGTAAGTTATTTGTAGGAATTCTTTTTATGTTTGGCGCATAGTTCTTTTAAGATTTTTCAAACACCTGTATTCAAAATTTGATCCAAATTCGAACAATTTTTCAGGCATTATGTCGTCGGGTAATTCCACATAATAAACATAATCCATCACAATCGCTGGACATCTTTCTAATAATTTGTCAACTAAAAAAAGATATAAACTTTATTAGTGTATAATATAATATTTTCTGTGTATAATATATATATATATATATATATATATATATATATATTAATATGTATATATTAAATACATTTTAAATAAATTATATTATACCCGTAACTGTTGTCAAGTGCTGATCTATTCCCTGTTTATAATCCCGTTTCTTCCCCTTATTTTCCGCGGCTTCTTTGTCAAACAATGAATCTTTCACGTAATCAGTATTCAAGTTCCCAGCTGTTACGTAAAGAGGCGGCTATAATAATAATTTACTTCTCAGACATTCCATATTTAACTTTGTATCTGACAATAATAATGAAATACTTTACCTGTACACCATCAGCAACTTCTACATGTCCACAGCTGCAGATTCCTCGTGGATAAAGCTGTATGCACGCCACTCCAACTTGGAAAGTCGTCATTGAAATTCCTTGAATTAAAGTATCTATCACAACTCCGTTCAATCGAAGCGATAAAAAGGATTTGTACCTAAGTTTTCGAGATTTATAAAATAATTGCTCTTTGACACTTTCAACAGTCTGCAAAAATGCACAAAATTCAGTTGTTTCACTTCCATAATTATTGCAAGAGAAACGATTCTTGTTGAAGTATATTACCTTAAATGTTAAAGTAGCATCATCTATATAAACACCTAAATGTACAATATGACCAGAATATGCCATTTGTTGTTCAGCAGTCCAATTATTGTCCCAGTCAACGGGTAGGACAGATGACACTATATCCCAAGCCCACCCACCCCATCCAACTGCATCCGTGGAAGTCCCCGCTACCTGATTTGTATCATCTGAAATGTTACATCTGTTAATGTCATATATTCCCAAGATACATGAAACTTAGACAATACTCAAGCAATATTGAACCTTGTGCAACATCTTCTCTCTCGTCCACAGTAATGGAAGATTTTTCCTTGCTTGGTGGAAATTGCTTCGTTTGTAACGCCATTACCAAGGCAGACAGTCTCAGGAGCATCGGTACTTGCTGTTCAGTCATACTAAATTCCATTTTCTCACAATGAAGATCAAGCCTCGTGATCGATGCTCTCTTCGAAACGTTGTTGTGATAGTTTATAATCATTCGGATTGTCATTGAACATCGATACAAAACAGGATCCTGTATAAATTAATATCCAAAAACATCTTTTTACAAAATCTTTTATACAAAATATCTAAATCACATCTTTACAATATAAGGCATCTTTTTCATACCTTCTCTCACAAAATAAATGCCAAAATATATCTCAGAAATGTCTACCTGATATATCTCTATCTTTCCTGATGCATCCATTTTATCTAAGCACAATGTCAAGTCTTGGATGGTAATAACTTTCCTAAGCATTACTTCTTGAGTGTTGACCTCTAAACGTAAATTAAATGTATTAAAATCATGCATTTTAATCACAAGCATACTTTTATGTTAATAAGACGACTTTTAGCACTGTAATGGACTATACGTTAAAAGTAAATACCGGCAAAAGCTGGCTCCCATTTATTGTCGACAGTTTGCATACTTAAAAATCTGACATTTATGCTAAGCACAATATCCTCCTCCACGTATTTCAAGATGAGATTGTTGCAATGAATGGTAATATTATTAATAACTTTCGTGACTACACTTTTGATATACCCAGGTGGAGCTTCCTCTCTGAAAGATTAAAAGTGACATTTTACGCATACATTTCTAATAAAGCAATAAGATTTTAATATAGTTTCTTTATAAAATTTCAGATTGATAAAAAACAATACTTACTGTATCGACTCCTTCTTCTTTTGTAACGTCGTTGGATTGGTTTCTGTGGTATTTTCATCTTTCAATTTTAAAATGCACTCTATAAAAGAGAGACAATGTATTAATATATCTTAAAAAAAATTTTTTTTAAATATTATTAGATATAATATCTCTATTTACCTATGGTATTAATGGTAACAACTATTGGCTCAGACGTAATTTTTACCCAGGGAACATGTATCAATAATTCATGTATATGGCCACTAACAAAGACAAATGGAAGATTCAGTTGCTCCTCTAATACCTCTAATCGTAGATCCAGATTCTGAAACGATGCATCTCCACCCCACAAAGATACCTGAAAAAAAATTTTTTGCCATAAAATATCTCATAGAGTTATTTTGTTTAAAAAATCATACTGTCAAGTATGTTTGCAAAATATATCACTAACTCATTTGATACTTTGAAACAAGAACAATCAAAGTTGTTTTAGCTTGAAAACACAGTAACTATTTTACACATTTCTTTATCCTGTTCCAAACTATTGATATTATAGAAATGAAAGGAAACAAATTTTGAGAAAATATAATTTGCAGTAAAATTAAGTAATACTTTTCAAAGTATAATATGTGTATTATACCTGCGACTGTTCCGGCTTAAAATTTTTTACATATTTCTCTACATAGCTGAGAATCACTGGTGTTATATAGGATTCCAATTTAAACATCGTGCTTGGTGAAGCAGAACATGTAGCATATTTTTATAATTCCCTTAATCAAAGATATCACCAATTGTCTTATCAGGAACTCCTTTTTTGCTCTCTCATAATAATGACATATCGTACGATTACCATTTCTTTGTGTTCAACGAAGTAGCAGGCAACAATATGAAATAAATATTATATGTCTTGATATAGACATGTAGATTTGTCTGAAAATTGAAAAATAAACTCTGTATAAGTATATATATAAATATAAATATATATATATATATATATATAGATCATTGTATAAGATTAGATTAGATAGGCTAACAACATTGTTCAAATCATTATATAATATACAAGCTAAAGTAAAACTCAGAAGACATTTTATTAAATTTAGAAAAATTATGTTTAACAAATATACATGTATATTAACAGAAATACATGTTTGATAACAAAAACTGCATTGTTTTTAATATGACAGATCAACCAGAAACAATTTATAGGAACGTCAATCGTACGGGAGATACGATTGTGCGAATTTCTTAAAAAATTGTGTACTGACGTGAACTTGACATAAAACTGTATTTTATCGTCGCGTGTTAACGTTTACTCGTATGATAATCACGCGCGGAGGAAATAAATGGGTTAAATGGAATCATCGTGAGGCTTAGGGAGGAAAACAAATTTATTCGCAATTCTGGGCTCCTCAAACGAATGGAACATCGACGTCTCGTTGCAATCCTGGTCCAGGACGCGGTTACAAAATATCGCATCTCGTGAATATCGTATCGGAGAATCAACACAGCTGATTCGCACCTGCCAGACGACGAGCCATGCGGCTCCCACGAAGACACGTCACGAAACTGTTACACGAGCCCGTTTCGCGCCGCGTACGCAGCGGGCGCGGCGACAGCATCGATTCTCCTGTTCTCCGCCGGACGTAACTTTCGTAATTTGAAATTATTCAGCCTCGATCGTGGAGCTGTCCTGCGATCCGTTCGCGCATATGACTTTTCCGCTAACCTCAAATGTTTGCGTCGCGTTTGCGCCCGAGCCGTCCCAGGTAGACAACAGGCCCCGCCACGGCATTGACGTGAAGTTGCACCAATTGCAGGCGTACTCGGAGCGTGCGCGTGTTACATCTGAATATTTATGCATGACATGACTGTGCGCGCCGTGTTGACATAATTGTTCATATACTGACGTGGACAACGAAATGGAATTTATAAGTATAAGCTCTCAAAATTGTAATCCTCGGAATTCTTGATTTAGCGGTCTCAGCCGTCTCGATCGCATGTTCTCTTCAATATTTTTCTGATATATATGTTTCGAGAATTCAAATTTTTGCATTTCAAATGTTTAGACTTAAAACTTTTGGCATTTTAAGAAATGCCATCTTTTAGCTGATTAAATATTTGTTACGCATACTTCTAAGAATTTAAATTTTAGCGGTTTGCAAAATACAGACGATCGGAAAATTGCAAGCGATGTCGATAATTATAGATAAGATAATCAGCTACATTATCGACATTGGTATTTTACGAAAAAAAAAAATATATACATATATATGTATATATTTAAAATATCAAAAATCGATACACAAAAAAGCTATCCGCGAACAAAAGAGAGGAATTTTTTTCCATTTTTTTTGTTAATATTTTTAATTATTTTATTATTATATTTTTAAATTTCGATAAAATTATTAAGTATTATTATTCTAATACAAGTCTTGAAATTATATTAATTTAAGAAAATCGCGATATCTGTTAGAAGTTGCGTAAAAATATAATATATATATATATATATATATTAATTATTGTATTTTTGTTATTTGTAAAATTTATAATTTATAATACGTGTACATACTGTAACATGCTCTTCATCAGCTTTGCAAAGAAAATCGCTAATAAATTTTCTAATAAAAGAGAACAGAGCAAAAAACATTATTATAATTTAAATTTTATCTTAATTATGAGCACGGCGGTATCCATAATCTAATTTTAGGGAAGATTCATGTATTAAAGCGGAAAAGTAGAATATGGAAAAGCAGAAATCAATCAAAAGTTTTATGGAAAAAAAGGTCACGATGAGCGCGCCCATGCAGGCTTTTTTCTAACAGGTCATATAATGATATCATAATAAAATCATTATGACTTTTTTATGATATCTGTTTTCATTTTATCATTTATTATAATTTAAGTCATAAATAATATAAAAATTGACATTTTTATGACATTATTTGGCTTCTATGTTTATTTAGGTGACCGCATATTAGATCTCTCGAGATTTCGTACTTGAGATAATAATCTTAAATATATGATATTCGATTATGAATATATAATTCATAATATTCCCCGCGGCGTATGATAAAATTCACAATACTTTCGGTACACAATAAACTTTTTCTGAAAGAATACTTTACGATGTTCATTTATTTACACTCGTTCCGCCTTACATGCATAATTTCCGACTGAAGAGGAATTGTCAGAATTAGCGTATTCGTAGTTTCCTTCTAGTAAAGTCTTTTATTTATACGTTGATATTCACGACTTCTTCTTACAACAATGGCAAACACGTATTCCGCATCGCGAGATTACAGGAAACCTGCTATTGACCAACGAATCGCTGAGTTAGTGAAAAGGAGGATAGGTACACGGGAAGATCTACCCACGGAAAGTACAAAAGAGCGACTTGTAAATATTTTTGCGGATCTGTAAATACTTTCGCGAACAATTCTATATGTAATATATTACATTTGAAATATTAAGCGTTACGTTTTACAGTAGAATTCTTACCTAACCAAATAAAAAGAAACAATTAGAATATAACAAACATTTTAGAAGTACTTTTTGCTATTGAAAGTTCATTGGAAACGATTAAAATATTAAAAGATTACAAAATTAGAAAAATATAGAAAATGATATTTACATGAATACAATATTTAGATCATTATACACATTACATTTAAATAAAAATGTGAAAAATAATTATCTAATTTTTTCACAAGATAGTATTACATAATTATATAAAAAAGAAATTTGCCCAGCGCATAGGTCTTTTTCTATTTCAGGCAAAATTCAAAGAAATTCGCAATGCCAGACAAGGATTACTAAAGATCACGCATCAACATGTCCTGGAGACGGTGGCATATATTTTGAACACAGACTCCGAGGTCCTGGAACAAGGTATCCTCGACAGAGACGAATACGTGAACGTATTTAGCAGTTTCTTCGCCGAAGGCGGAAGACAAGCGATCGTTGTTTATCTTCAACCTATGAGTCCCCCGACATTTGGTATAACGATGGATATTCTCCTGATCTCTCCTTTCCACGCGCAATTTTAATATAATGTTAACGACGGCGATTACGTCAACAATACATTTTTATGCTACCTCTCTTGCGATACTACACGTAGAATTTACATAATCTCAGAATCCGGGCGATGGACGCCGCAACTTAGCAAAGAACAGCAAGTTATACGCTGCTGCATAACAGATGGTACTACCGAAAAATTCTCAGGCAAATGCGTTATAGTTTATCGATTAAAGTCAAATCTGGAATTTGGAGTCAAACAGTTAGTCGATGTAAGTAAAAAAAAAAAAAAAATTAATACGAATAAATCCAAGCGTCATCTCGAATTATCTCGAGTTTGCGTTCCATTTTCTAAGATACACATTCACAAAATATTGCAAGAATTTAATTTACTTTTATGCACCTTCATAAGATATATATTATAAAAAGTCTATTAGTTTTGAAATTTGCAGTTTACATATTTTCTTCGTTCTTCTTTTTCTTCCCAACCTTTTCCTGCTGCTTTTTATTTTATGTTCCATATAGGAAACATATTATGCATATGCGGAGGTGGATCCTACATCACAAAGCGCGCTGGCAGGAATATCTGATTTAATTTCACGTTTGCATGCACGAACGTTAACTGCTAATACGCAATGGGGAGAATTGTCGAGGAGCGAAGCCGGAGAAAAGATAAAGGACGATTTTATAGGCGATTTTAAAGATTTCTGCGAATTTCTCAGCAGTAAAATAACTTACGATCCGTATTTGTTCCAATTATCACACAAAATCTTCTTTTGATGGGAGACAATATTTCTCCTCTTTTCCCGATAGTGACGAAGATAGATTTGGAAAATATCATATGCTTTCAACTTGATTTGGATTTGTATCAAAAGTGTTTGGCATTACCTGAAAAAATTAAAGAAAGCCTTCGTAAGCCGGACGTTATTGCAGCAACAGAAGCTAATGTCCGAATATGGATGAAGCTGATGGAACGGGTATTACTTTTACCAATTACATCTCTTTTAATAAAATTTCATTTTATAAAGCCATTTTCTAGGCCATCGTTGAAAGCCAACAATTGCGCAGAGAAACCGAAACTGTAGGACCAACTGCGGAACTTGCGTATTGGCGGCGATTGTTCGGTCAATTTTCATCGATAACGAATCACATAAAGTCTTTTTACACGCAAGCATTTATACAATTGTTAACGGAAGCGAAATCAAAACTTATCAGAGTACGAAACTATTAATTCGTATTGTATATCGAATTGAATGTCACTTGAATATTTTATATGTAGGAATGGAAGATATTAGAAGATCATGTTACAACGATGCACATTTTGTCGCATGATAACGTGAAGTATCTGTACGCCTTAGAAAAATTTACGCAACCATTGTACAGATTAGATCCAACGAAAATAGGAGAGTACTTACCCGCGCTCATGTATGCTATAAGGATGATTTATGCTACGTCGCGATTTTTCAACACGAGGAAGATGGTAACAGCTGTATATGTAAAGGTACATTTTCCTAAAATAATTGATTAGGAACTCGAATCACCATTTTAAATTAATAGATATAAATTCTAATCAAAAGTCGATTGATTTTAATCTCTTAATAAAGTTATTTTTAAAAGATTATACATTAAAATGTATAATTATCATGTACTCGTTATGCGATTTATGTAATTTCTATTACATCAATTTATAATTTTTATTTAGATAACAAATCAGATGATATTAGCATGTAAAGCATACTTAACGGAGAATGGAAAATTGAGCATTTGGAACGAATCGAAATGTATTATGATATCTAAAATAAAGGTAAAGACAAAAACGTATGAGAAAATGTTTTCGCCTGTCACATACTGCTATCGCCTTATAAATTAAACCATAGTATCAGCGATTATTTCGCAGGATTGTATCAAGCTTTGTGAGACGTATCATAACTGTTACGACGAGATGTGTAAGAAGGTCGAAGAATCTCCGGACGAAAAACCTTTCGAGGTGTCCGAAATGTATGTTTTCGGAAAGTTTGCCACTTTCAAGACAAGAATAATAAAAGTAAGTAAGTAACAATTAATGTTAAGATATATCACGATACCTACACGGTTACGTTATTATTTTATTCGCGATATATATACGATTTAGATCATGGACATCCTTGAAACGGCACGGATGTACTCCATCCTGCACAGTTCGACTATAGAAGGAATTAATGCATACGCGCAAAAGTATACGGATTATTTTAAAAAGATTTCGTCGCAGAAGTACGATCCCTTGGATCACAGAAAACCGTATTTCGATGCCGATTACGACGAATTCAAAAAGAGCGTGACGGAAACCGACATGGAGCTAAGAACGTTTTTCTTTAACTGCGTTTCTCTCGTGCCAGACATAACGCAGAGTTTATATTTGATAGCTAGGTAGTACTTTAGCAAATTTCTCTTTTAACCGGGCCACGTAAGAATATACTTCATTATATAGTGGTCCCACAGGTTTCAAAAATTGAATCTCAAGCAACTGAGGATTGACAGGAAGTGCCTAGAAATGGTCACGATGTTCGAACAAGAGCTCGAAGATATTCGCGATAGATACAATGAAAATAGATCCGATCCTCCTACGCCGAGAAATATTCCACCCATCGCTTGTAGAATTCTGTGGATCCGGCAATTAAATAGACGCATTGAAGTTCTTATGGATATGTTCAGATCGCACCATAGAGTGATTACGCATGATTCCATGCAGAAATGCATTAAGATATATAATACTCTCGTCAGCGTGTTTATTCATTACGAGTTAATATATTACAAAGCGTGGTACGATTCGGCTAACATTGTAAGTTTCAATTATTATTTAAGCTGATTATGCCGATATTTTTAAAATATTTATTCCCGGAATTAAATAAATACATTTTTTCCATACATGGGAAATAAAATAGATTTAACAATGTAGTATTTTTTAAACTTCTAACAGAGTTCAAAATTGTGATGTAAAAATAAAAAATAAAACCGCTCAATTTGTAGTTTATTTTTTTTTATTTTTATGAAAAAAGTTTTTTTCGTAAAAATTTTGAATCTCGCAGAATTTGCTCATGTATGTACATTCTAAAATGATTGAGAAATATAGTTTTCAATTGCTAGGTTCGTCTGGCATTGTCATCCCCCTTACTTGTGCGTCATCCAAAGACAAATAAGTACTGTCTAAATTTCGATTCTTACATTTATGAAGTAATACGAGAATCCGAGCATATGTCCAAGTTTGAATTAGAAGTGCCGGATTTTATACAAATGTTAATCTTTTGCAAAGAAAAGATCTTTTTATCCTGCGAAAGAGTGAAGAAATTGCTTAAGAAGAACGATGAGCTTAGGTATACAATAAATTTCACACTTGATAATCATCGATTAAAATTTCTGCATACGTATATATATATATATATATTTATATTTATTTATTTATTTTATTTGTGTGTGTAGACGATCTATTCCGATCTTGTTTCTAAACCTAATGAAAATAGCACTCGTCAATCTTGAAATTGCTTTTCAACCCTGCGTATCGGTAATTACATGGTCCTCGTTAAAAATTTCTAACGCATGCGCTAAAATAGAAGAAGAGTTAAATAATGCGCAGATATTCGTCAAGGAGATAGTGGACATGAAGGAAGCGAGAGTGGATGAAGTGTTTGAGTCTATTGCGGAAACAACGTTACTAAAACTGGACGAATATCCGAAAAGTCCGGAACAACTTTTAGCCGATAATATAGCTTTCACAGACAAGATGGCGATTGACTTGGAAATCAAATCTGCGGCGGCAGAGAAGACCGTTATCACGATTATCAATAAATTTATGGATCTTATAACCGATCCTACCGTGCAAGATATTAAATACAAGTGGATGGATCTCGAAAAAATGCACAGACAATGCGTATCCGAAAGCAAATTGATACAGGCGCCATTCGAGCCGGGTATTGTATTCTTCAAAGAGTAATTATAATTTTACATTATATTTTGAGTTACGATTAGTAACTGACTTATTAAATACAGGCTTCGGTCACATCGAAAGAACACACAAAGTTAAGATAAATCAAGTGCATAATGATTGCATAGAACTGTTTGCGTGTTACAATAATAAATTAATAGAAGCTTTAGTAAAATGTACTAAAAATTCTTTAGACTTGTTAAAGAAGAAAGCAACCATTATGAGGTATCTTAATGCGCGCATGTATACATATTTATAATTTATACGTATTATATTTTTCATTATTTTATTTCAAATGTATAAATATAATAAGAACGAGAAAATATAAATTAGTATAAATAAATTAACGTATGAATTCTGCTTCAGTGTGTTAGTCAAAGATGTTGCAATAGAACAAGAAATTCCAATCATGCTGACATATTTTGTTTTACAAATACCGAATATTATAATTATCCCACCAATAGAAGAATTGCAAAATCATTTTGCCAAAGTTATAACAAGAATTATAGAAACGCACAAGAAGGTCGTTATGTGGGGACATCGATATTCTACAAATGGACGAGTTAAATCGCTTGGTATACTGGAACTAATAATAATAACAAATATATAATAGAATTTATATATTTCTTTATTCATATTATGAAATTTTTCAGATAAAAATTGTTATATTACTGTTATTATATTATCATTATAGAAGATAGTAAATTTATATAATGTACATATTTGAAATTTATTATTTGCTTATGTCATCCAGGTAAAGAAGACGTGTCCGATACTTATTTTCAAAACGTGTCTGATCACAAAGATATAATCCGCAGTTCAATGAGTCTACAAGGCTTAATATTAATGTTGAGAGATGACATCTTCAAAGTTGGCAACGTATATAATATAAAAATTATTATTATATATTTAGTTCAATTTATGTTTATACAGCAGTATCGTATTTATATAGTAATTTATATTAATACAATCACTTATTTCTATGCTAGTCATATTTACGATATTCCTACATATGGGCAGAAAATAGAAATGAGATTATACAAGCGTTTACTGACTCCAAACCTTTCGTACATGAAATTAAAGAGAAGTTTATAGAATACGAAAATTTAATGACAGAAATAAAAAATTTGCCTGACTGGCATATACTTGGCCCTCTTCAAATTAATACAGGTGCGCAAAAATAAAGTAATTAGCTACAATTATTACTTTTAGTAATAATATTTTACGTATACTTAATTGATTATAGTAATTTTGATTTAGATTAAAAAAAGCTTTTTCAAAAATTTCATAATTCCTATTTTAGATAAATTAAAATTAGCATTCCTTGTCGAAGCAAATGCATGGAAAAAAACGTTGGGTGTCATGTTATCAAATAAATACAAAGAAAAATTGCTAAAAATAATGGATTATATTTTGGAAAAGAATAAAGTTCTATCCAGGCATATCAAAGATTTAGAGGACGTTAGAGTTGCGATGAAATGCTTGGGAGAAATACGAGATGATTTCGTATCAATAGATATGGAACTAATTTTAATTGAAGAGACTTATACATTAATGGGAAAATTTAACATCGATATATTGAAAGAAGATCAAGATATAGTAGATGGATTGAGATATAATTTTAGCAGCCTGCTCAATACGGTAATTTGTTCTTATTTCAATTCATTTCGTATTGATATATTTTAATAATTATATTTAATATTATAATTACTTTTATTATTGATGCTTTAATAATTATATTTAACTTCTTTTTACTTAATTTTATATATATGTATATATGTTAATAATTGTGTTTTAAAATAATCTTTTTCATTTTGCTCTACGATAAGTAATATCTATATTTTTATAGGCGAAGCACGTTCAAGCTGTTATATGTGAGATGCAAGAGCCATTGAAAAAGGAACTTACTGACGGAGGTGCAATTCTTAAAAAGAAGGTAGCTCAATTTGACATTGATTTTGAACTCAATGGCCCAATGGTTGAAGGAATACCCGCAAAAGAAGCCAGTGAACGGTAATGTTTCATCTTGTATTTTCTGCAAAATTGCATGTACCAATTAATTTTAGTAAAATAATTTTTTAATTTAAATAAACAGCGTATTAATATCATTTTTTACATTGTCTGTGTTTTAAGACTTATCCTATTCCAAGCGCGTTTTGAAGAACAGTGGGAAAGATACGAGACTTACAGCACTGGCGAAAGCTTATTCGGCATAGAAGTAACGGAGTACCCAGCTCTACAACAGAGAAAAAGAGAAATTAATTTATTGCAAAAGTTATACACGTTGTATTTGCAAGTTATGCGCACCATTGACAGCTATTATGATATCCCATGGTCCGAAATTGATATCGAGTCAATTATAGCTGAATTGGCCGACTTCCAAAACAAGTAAATACACGCTGACTTACATTTAAGAGGATTTTATTATATGATATTTTATTAAATTCTTGTAATAATACTGTGCTATATATCATTTTAGATGTCGAAGATTACCTAAAGCTATGAGAGAATGGCCCGCGTATGTTGATCTAAAGAAGAAGATTGATGATTTTAATGAAATGTGCCCGCTGTTAGAAATGATGGCTAATAAAGCCATGAAAGACAGACATTGGAAGAAACTGTCGAAACTCTGTCACTACTTCTTCGACGTAGAATCTGAAAGGTTTACCTTGGCAAACGTTATGCAGGCACCTTTGTTGAAATATAAAGATGATGTAGAGGTATGCTTAATTAGGCTGGAAAATAATGCTTTCAATTTAGTATTTCTCAATATATATATATATATATATATAGGGCATTCTTTGTCAAGTGAGCCACTCCTTTGCCCACTTCAATTTTTGAGATAAAATACTTCAAAAGGTCTTAAAATTTTCATTGAAATGTCTGTCGTTGAAATTTTTTTGATGCTGTATGGTCTTTTTAAAAATTCAAGATGGCAGATCCAGAATCGCAACTAGAATGGACTGTCGTCAAAATTTTTTGGAACAAACTTTAATTACTGAAAATTTTAAGACCTTTTGAAATATTTTATCTCAAAAATTGAAGTGGGCAGGGGTGACCTGCTTGACAGAGAATGCTTCATATATATCTTTTTTAACAAAATAATGTATTACAATAAATTATAATAAAATACAAAAATTATATATACTCACAAACATTATACATTACAGGACATATGTATTAGTGCAGTGAAGGAACAAGATATCGAGTTTAAATTGAAGCAGGTAATTGCAGATTGGGCGGTTATAAATCTGCAATTTGCTCCCTTCAAGCAGAGAGGCGAACTGATGCTGAAAGGCAACGAAACGGCTGAAATAATAGCGCTATTGGAAGACAGTTTAATGATCATAAGCTCTTTGCTCGCAAATCGGTACGTTATATACACATCTCTAAATCCGAAATTATTAGATTTTATAATACATACTACATTCATATTCAACGTTACGCAGTTATAACGTACCGTTTAAGAAAGAGATTCAGTTGTGGCAGACCAAGCTTAGCAATACGTCGGAAATATTGGCGAAATGGTTAACCGTGCAAAATCTGTGGGCTTATCTGGAAGCAGTATTTATTGGCGGCGACATATCGAAGCAACTGCCTACTGAAGCAAAACGCTTTAACGTACTTCACGAAAAATCTCGCGATGGAATTATCGATAATATTAAGAATAATATTAAAAACTTGTGTCATTGTCGTTTTAGACTATCGATAAGGCTTGGGTTAAGCTTATGCTTCGCGCTCACGAAAAATTAAATGCGGTGGAAACGTGTACGGGGGATGAAACGATGAGCCAGTTCTTACCACATTTACTGGAGCAGCTAGAATCGTGCCAGAAATCTCTTAGCGGGTATACTTACACATATTACTGGCAAAATATAGCAACTGCTCGCAGATTGTCAGAATCTAATCTGCAAAATTATATTAATACAGCTATCTGGAAACTAAGAGAGTTATTTTTCCGAGATTCTGCTTTATATCGGATCCTACTTTGCTGGAGATACTTGGGCAAGCAGAAGACGGCACACGATACAGAATTATCTTGATGGATTTTTCGATAATATAGCAAAAGTAATGAGATTCACGATGAGATAAAATTGCGATAATAAGATTGTTACAAAAATGTAGCAATTCTACCATGCATTACAAAGATAATTGCTCCTATATATTAAGTCTCTTCTATACTGGTTTTTATATTCACGAGCTTAATATCTCTCGTATACAGCTAAAGTTCTCCGAAAAGGAATACGATAAAATTATAGCGATGCATTCACGTGAAGGCGAACAAATAGCGCTGGAAAAAGAAGTCGCGTGTACAGGAGGCGTGGAGAACTGGCTAAACGTTCTGTTAACAGTCCACCAGCAGTCCGTCGGCGCCGTGATTTCGCTAGGGCTGCAATCACTTCACACACCCGAATTTGACATTTTGTTATTGATAGAAAATTCTGTTTTGCAAGTAAGATGATGCGCATACGAAGCCCGTGACGAATTCAACGGACGGAAATTCGTCAATTCGAAACATTCGCTCTCTCCGCAGGTGGGTCTATTAGCATTACAAGTTTTATGGACGCGATTTTCCGAGATAGCGATCACGACAGCCAAACGTGACAGAACGATAATGAAAAGGACCAATCAATGGTTCCTTGACTTGCTAAACAATCTTATAGAAGTAACCGTCAAGGATCTTACAAAGTATGCCAGAATAAAGTACGAATGCTTAATAACGATACACGTGCATCAAAGGTACCGGAATAAAGAATTTCATTTTTCTGTATAATTATATCATAATTGTCAAATGCAACAAAGACTGTAAAAAATAAGTCGCATTTATAAATTTTTTTTTAGAGATATATTTGACGAATTATGCCGTCTCCGAATTCGTAGTATACTTGATTTTGAGTGGTTGAAGCAGTGTCGGTTCTACTACGATGACGAATCGGAGGAAGTCCCAATCAAGATAACCGACGTGCAATTCGTTTATCAAAATGAATTCTTAGGCTGTACAGATCGACTTGCAATTACGCCGCTTACGGACAGGTGTTACATAACACTAGCACAGGCCGTGGGTATGATGCTTGTACTAAAGAAAAAAAAATAACGTGTAAAATAGTGTTCAAAATAATATATACCAATATTTGCGTCACGTCACTTACTACCGTCCCTTGCAAATATTTTTTTAGGAATGAATTTTGGCGGAGCACCCGCGGGTCCTGCCGGCACGGGTAAAACAGAGACGACGAAAGACATGGGGAAAGCACTGGGAAAATACGTCGTTGTTTTTAATTGCTCCGACCAAATGGATTTCCGAGGCTTAGGCAGAATATTTAAAGGACTAGCGCAATCCGGCAGCTGGGGATGCTTTGACGAATTTAATCGAATTGATCTACCGGTGTTATCCGTTGCCGCACAGCAAATAGCAATCGTGCTCAATGCACGAAAGGAGCGAAAGACAACATTCTTGTTCAGGTACACGAAAGAAGAGAAATGGATAACTACTTATTACAAAATTATTTAATTAATTTATTATAAAAGTAAATTTTTTGTTTTATATTTAAAATTTTACATTTTCACAAAATAAAGCTTTATATCGGTTCTTTTTTATTTTCTCGGTTTTACTAATTATCTTTAACAAATATTAATTTATTAAATAGTTTTTGATTTTATAATAAATTATATTAACTTTAGCAAACGAATACACACGCTTTATTTGCAGTGATGGCGAAACGTATAAACTCAATTACGAGTTTGGAATATTTATTACAATGAATCCCGGGTATGCGGGTCGACAAGAATTGCCGGAAAATTTGAAAATACAGTTCAGAAGTGTGGCAATGATGGTTCCTGACAGACAGGTACGTAAAAATATTATTATCCTCTTTCATATGTGTTAAAATGTAAAAACTGTATGCACCTATAATAAATAATAGGTACAATTAAAATTTCTCTCATAAATTATAAAATTTAATTTACCGTACATAAATTTAATTAATTCCACTTGCTTAGATCATAATGCGAGTAAAACTCGCGGCGTGTGGCTTCAAAGAGAACGTGTTATTAGCGCGAAAATTCTTCATATTGTACAAATTGTGCGAGGAGCAGCTCAGCAAACAGGTACATTACGATTTTGGATTAAGAAACATCTTGTCGTGCTTACGCACACTTGGCGCTCAGAAACGCGCGCATCCTACCGATTCCGAGGAAACCACGCTTATGAGAGTACTACGGTAAGTGCGTGCTATCAATTAATTGTAATGTATTTCGTTCTAAGAATTAAGTTATCCAAATATAGAAATAATTTAAATGTGCGTTAATTTTCTTAGCGATATGAATTTATCGAAATTAGTGGATGAAGACGAGCCTCTTTTCATGTCGCTTATTGAAGATATGTTTCCGGGTATAAAGTTAACAACGCAGACTTATAGAGAATTACAGAAAGCAATAGCTAACGCCACTGTCGCCCTTGGCATAATAAATCACAGTGAATGGAACTTGAAAACTGTTCAGGTACTTTTGATATGTTTTATCATTTATTTATCCCTTTATTTTATATTCTTTTCCGTTTGGTTCTATTTGAAATTTTTTTGGGGCAAATATCTGTGTTTTTTTAAACAGTTGTTTTGCGTAAATAATTCAAAAAGTTTCTTTCTAATTGCTTTTTAAGGGTTTAAATTACACGCAGAATTAACATATAAGTTAAACATTATTGAGAAAAAAATCATGATATGTTGGTGACTTGTAGTTATACGAGACATCGCTCGTTCGCCATGGTTTGATGGTTCTTGGACCAACAGGATCTGGTAAAACGCGATGCATGTGGGCGCTAATGAGGGCCCTAACAGAGATGGGTATACCGCATAAGGAAATTAGAATGAATCCAAAAGTCAGTATTTATCAATGATAATTCTTCATTTTATCAGATATATCGATACAGATATAATTTTTTTCTTTAAAAAATCTGAATAGGCGATAACTGCGTCTCAAATGTTTGGGAGACTCGACGTTGCGACGAACGATTGGACAGACGGTATATTCTCCATTATATGGCGAAGGTCCACGCAGACGAAGAAGACGGAAAATTTATGGATGGTATTAGACGGTCCCGTCGACGCAGTATGGATTGAAAATTTAAATTCTGTTCTGGACGACAATAAAACGTTAACACTGGCAAATGGCGATCGCATTATAATGGCGCCAAATACTAAATTAGTGTTCGAACCTGACAATGTGGATAATGCGTCCCCGGCGACTATATCGCGTATGGGAATGGTATTCGTCAGTGCCTCTGTGCTAAAATGGGATTCAATTTTAGAGGTAATATGGATCCTGGGGTTTTGTAATAATGAGATATTTCCTGCGGTAGCCTATTGTGATGTTGCAGTATATACTTTTAATACAGGGTTGGCTTAGAAAATGTTCCAGTAACCAGACTCTGTTGCGATCGTTATTTTATAAAATATACGAAGATGCCCACACATTCGTTCAAACAAAACTTCAAACTAAAATGGTGCTTTTGGAAGCGCTTTATATACGGCAGTGTATTGACTTATTGGAAGGTTTAAATGTCAGAAATATTGATCCAACTAGTAAATATTCCCTTTTATATTCAAACAATTTTTCGTTTACTTTCAAATATTTAGTCATTCGACATGACTGTATAATATTAACATTATAAAGAAAGCACTTTTTAAAAATATATCTATTTTTAATTTTCTTTTTTCAATTATTCTTATAATTAAGTAATTTTACCTTTTTTATTTTCTAATATGTTATAATTATATTATTTGTATTTGTAAAATTTTGACAATTTAACATAAAATAAATTAAATAGATTTATTTCATCATTAGATTTTAAGTTTTAATTTTAAAATACTTGTCAAATATTTCATCAAACTTGTAATTTCTAGAAACATTAACTGATCATCATGTTGAGAAGCTTTTTCTATTTTCTCTTATGTGGAGCTTGGGGGCAATGTTAGAATTAGATGGACGATTTGCATTACAGGAATATCTTGTGAAGCATGAATCGCATTGTAATTGGCCGAAGTATACAGTTCGTATATGATATAATTTAATACGTTATTTAATCAACTATCAATGCAATGTGTGTGTATCATTATTAATATTTTTTCATCTCATAAATATTCGATTGATAGGAAGATGAAACTATTTTTGAGAATCTAGTATCAGACGATGGAAAATGGATACATTGGAGTAAAATGGTGCCAAAATTTGAATATCCCTCAGATCGTGTTTTAGAATATCACACTATTCTCGTTCCTAATGTCGATAATACCAGAACATTATATTTAATTGATATTATAGCGGGGCAGGAAAAAGCAGTACTTTTAATAGGTAAGGCGTGCGCGTAGTATAATTTCAATAATCGGCTTTATTTAGAAAGTGTTCAACAAATTGGTTAAACCTGTAACGTTATTCTAGTCATTAATTACATTATGTGAATTAATTATACAATAGGGGAAGCCGGTACTGCAAAAAGCGTAATGATGAAAAGCTACATGTCTAAGCACGATCCCGAACATCATTTGAACAAGTTTTTTAATTTTTCTTCAGCGTCCACGCCCAATATGGTTCAGGTAATAACTCAGAGCGTCATAAAATTCTATAGTAAATAAATATTTTATATTTAAACTTTTAATTGCGATGGGGTGTTTTGAATTACTTTATCGTGTGAATTATCGCTTTCTTCAGCGTGTATTCGAGAGCTACGTGGAGAAGCGAGTCGGCAGCACTTACGGTCCGCCCGGCGGACGGAAAATGACCATATTTATCGACGATATAAATATGCCGGCCATAAACGAATGGGGCGATCAAATTACAAATGAGATCGTACGTCAATTAATGGAGTACAAAGGGTTCTACTCCCTGGACAAGCCGGGTGACTTTTGCACTATGCAAGATATTATGTTACTTGCCGCGATGCGTCATCCGGGTGGAGGACGAAATGACATTCCACCGCGACTGAAGCGGCAGTTCAATATTTTTAATTGCACATTACCGTCCAATAAATCCATAGATACAATTTTCAGTAAGGACGCTAATGATCGCTCGTTTTAGTAAACACGCGCGACGAACATGATTTATGCAATGTGAATTTAAAATTACAGGTGTTATTGGCCAAGGCTACTTTTGCACTACGAGATTCTCCGAAATCATCGTTAATTTCTTGCCAAAGCTCGTGCCGTTGACTCGATTATTATGGCAGCTAACAAAAGCGAAGATGTTACCGACCCCAGCCAAGTTCCATTACGTTTTCAACTTGCGTGATCTCTCACGTATTTGGGAGGGAATACTAAGAATAGAGAGAGCCGAGTGTGAATCTATAACGACACTGCTGAAATTATGGGAGCACGAATGCACGCGTGCGATAGCGGATCGGTTCGTTCTTTCTTGTTATTAATATAAAATGAAGATATTTTTTTCCTTGATTTGTATGTGTGCAGGGTTTAAACGTGTAATAAATCATTCGCAGTTTCATCACTGCCGCCGATAAAGAATGGTTTCAAAATACATTGCGGCGGACCGCGGAGAAGATGTTGGGTCCAGATTATCAATATTATTCCCCAGTTGAGACGTATTTCGTTGACTTTTTGCGCGAACCACCGGAACCGACAGGCGACGAGCCGGAAGATTTCATATTAGAGGCACCAAAGATTTATGAGGAGATCCCGAGGTACATTGACTCGAATTTTTTAATTTGATACGATGGATCTAAAAACAGGCAGCAGTTACATATTTTTATGTCACTCGTAGTTACGACGTCGTTATCGCGAAAGTTCAGCAAAATATGGAGCAATTTAATGAATACATACGCGGCATGCGTCTTGATCTGGTCTTTTTCCACGACGCTCTGGTGCACTTGATACGAATATCGAGAATACTTGGAGTTCCCAGAGGTAACGCGTTGCTGGTCGGTATAGGGGGATCCGGCAAGCAGAGCCTGACGCGGCTGGCATCCTTCATCGCAGGATTTAACTTCTTTCAAATAACGTTATCCAGGCAAGTGTCAAGATCTCACCGAGCGTTTAAATGTCCCAGCGGAGTAGAAGTTGCAAAACACGAGATATTGAAGAAAATAATTTAATTCAATTGTAATTTAAGACAAAATTTAATTTAATTTTAAATTTTGTTTTCGCCATTCGTTGGAGGCAAAATACTTTATCTTATGATTTTTGTGGATATGTGATTGAAAAAATGTGGAAAAAAAATCATATGTGTACAATTGTGTTCTCAGAATTTATAATGTAGCCAGCTTGATGGACGACTTGCGAAAATTGTATCGCACCGCTGTCATTGACGGCAAAGGTCTCACTTTCATTTTCACCGACAACGAGGTGAAAGATGAAGCATTCTTAGAATATATAAACAACATATTAAGCGTCGGCGAAGTGGCCAATCTTTTTCCGAAGGATGAGTTAGACGACATTTTAACAGCTGTCACGCCGCTGATGAAAAAGGCCGATCCCCGACGACCGCCTACGCAAGATAATCTTTACGATTACTTCATATCGCGAGCGAGAAATAATCTGCATATAGTCCTATGCTTTTCACCAGTGAGCTTCGTTACTGTTAACGATATTTGCACTTATTCCTTTCGCTGTTAATTGGATTATAAAGTTAATAATTATTTATACAGATCAGCGGAAAGTTTAGATCCCGGACACTGAAATTCCCTGGCCTTATATCTGGCTGCACGATGAATTGGTTTTCGCGATGGCCGAGGGACGCACTATACGCGGTCGGCGAACACTTCCTTGAAACATATAAAGTTATATGTAGTCCGGAAGTAAAACAACAACTAATGCAAGTTGTGGGCGATATTCAAGACGACGTGAATGATACATGTTCAGAATACTTCGACAGGTTCACTTTTCTATTCTTTCACTAGCATTTTTGCTCGTTTGCGTGTAAATAACCGGTGCTAATTTCAACAAATACAGGTTCCGACGTCAAGTATACGTGACTCCGAGATCATTTTTAACGTTTCTCGACAGTTACAAAATATTTTACAAGCAACGTTTGGACAGCATTAATACACTTGCCTCTCGTATGGGCAGCGGTTTGAATACATTAATTGACGCTGCGGCGCAGGTTGATGTGTTGCGACACGAATTGGAAAAAAATCGAGAGGAGATTGCAGCAAAAAATGTTCAAGTGGAGGCGGTGAGCAATATATTTTAGTAAAATGTCAATTTCATGAGAGATTCCGATCCTATTTCGTATGTAACAACGTAATACGTATTTAGATTCTTGTTACTGTGAATGAGAAAAAGAGAGAAGCTGAGGGTGTGAAAGCAAAAGTGCAAGTGTCGAAAGATGAAGCGGAAGCGATTTTGAAAGTGATAGCGACAGACAAGGGGGTGGCAGAACAGAAGTTGGAAGCTGCGGAGCCCGCCTTGTTAGAAGCCGAAGCCGCGTTACTGGTGCCGCGACCGATAATTGATTATTATTTATGTCATGTGTTCGCGTAAACGTTCATTCACAGCAATACACACATATTTTTCAGACCATAAAAGCAGCAGACATCGCTACCGTTCGTAAATTGGCTAAACCACCGTATTTAATTACGCTCATAATGGATTGCGTTCTGATTCTATTCGGACGGAAATTGGAACCGGTCAAACCGGATTACGAACATCAATTTCTAACACCTTCGTGGTCAGAATCGTTAAAGGTGAGTCCTATTGTACATTAATTTTTATGTTAATGGAAAATGTAGAAAAAATCATTTTAACCTTATCTTAAGTTAAACGCAAGATATTATTTGTGCATGCTATTATCTTGCAGGTCCTGGCTGATACCAGATTTTTATATAATTTACAAAATTTTCCAAAGGATAATATTAACGCTGAAACCGTTGATTTAATGCTGCCGTATTTAAACTACTACATGTACACTTACGAAGCTGCGAAGCAAGCCTGCGGAAATGTTGCGGGTCTCATACAGTGGACCATCTCCATGGTCGCTTTTTATGAAATAAATAAAGATGTGCTGCCTTTGAAGGTATTCCCTATTAATAAACATTGTTGCTGAAAGAGAGCAGCTGAGAGCTGCATGTCATTCCATGGCTCGTAGGGAAAAATATCCATAGCTCCATATCTAATCACATAACGTCATTTTTATTTCTCAATTTTTAAGCTGCGAAATAACGTCGTCCATTTTTGTTACAAAAATATATATGGCGTTAAGAAATGTGCATAATAAGAAAGGATCACTTTGCAGGCAAATCTTGTTGTACAAGAAAATAAGTACGAAAATGCCAACAAAAATTTAGTCGAGGCGGAAGAATTACTGAAAGAAAAAGACGACGCTTTAAAGATAGTGCAAAATGAATTCGATGGCATGATGCAAGAACGACAAGTATGATAATAAATCATGATAGAATATACCTTACAAAAAATATACTCGGTATTTGAATGAAAGTTAAATTGAAATTAGATAGTTACGTAACATGTATGTTTTATACTTTTTATTAGAAAATTGTCGACCAAGCTGCGGTTTGTCAAGCAAAAATGGATACCGCCACCGCTATGATTGAAGGATTATCTGGAGAAAAAATAAGATGGACCGAGCAAGTGACTGTATTCAAATCAGAAATAGACCGTCTCGTTGGAGATGCGTTGGTGTTAACCGGGTTTCTTTCTTATTGCGGGCCATTTAATCAAGAATTCCGACTTCTCTTGCAACGGAAATGGTTCGACTTTATACTAGACAGAAAAATCCCAATTTCTGTTAACATAAACATTGTTAATGTATTGACAGACATAGCTACGGTAAAATTATTAACAAATTAATATACGGCATGTGAAAGATAAAAAGAAATTAAAACTCGTAATAAGCGAATAAATGTCCAATTTATTGTAGATTGGTGATTGGAGCTTGCAAGGTCTGCCAACGGATGAATTATCGGTTCAAAATGGTATAATTGTAACGAAAGCAACGAGATACCCTCTATTGATTGATCCGCAATTGCAAGGCAAAACGTGGATTAAAAATAAAGAGAAAGAGTTTGATTTACAGGTACGATAATAGAGCAAAATGTGGAATGCAAGAAGTTTGATTTAACATTTCCTAATATATTTCCTTCAGGTAACGTGGTTCACGCACAAATACTTTAGAAATCATCTAGAGGATTCCGTATCGATAGGACGACCATTATTGATTCAGAATGTGGGGGAAGAAATAGATCCAGTGCTAGACAATTTGCTGGAAAAGAATTTTATAAAAATAGGGACCTCCCTTAAGGTAAAAAAAAATGATAAAGATCTTATAGATCGTAATTTTTTTGCGTAATTTTATATTTCGTGTAATTTACTGTTGCAGGTCAAATTAGGCGACAAAGAAGTGGATATTAGTAAAGATTTCAGACTTTATATCACGACGAAGTTACCAAATCCTTTTTACACTCCAGAAATATTCGCCCACACATCTATAATCGATTTTACTGTTACGATGAAAGGTAAAAGTGTATTCTATTATTGCAGGGTATTTATGAATGTACTCATAAAAGCATCTTTTTTATTACAATTTTGCTCAATCCATATTGTGCCTCTCACAGGTCTGGAGGATCAATTATTAGGAAGAGTCATTTTAACAGAGAAGAAGGAACTGGAGACAGAAAAAACGCAATTGATTGCCGACGTAGCCGCAAATAATAGAAAGATTAAAGAATTAGAAAATAATCTTTTGCACAAATTGGGAACAGTGCAAGTGTGTATATTTACTTTAGAGCGCAAATTAAATAACTCTGAAATACAATTAATAATATCTTCTGTGTAATATTTCGTTTAAAGGGCCCTTTGATAGAAGACGTTGAATTAATGTCGGTATTAAATACCACGAAGCAAACAGCGGCGGATATAAATAGGAAGCTGAGTATCGCGAAAGATACGGAGTTAAAAATCGATGTAGCACGTGAAGAATTTCGACCGGTTGCAACGCGCGGTAGCGTTTTGTACTTCCTGATATGTGACATGCCGCATGTCAATTGCATGTACCAAACGTCCCTCGTTCAATTCTTAGAACGATTTGATATCTCAATGGCTAGGTAAATATAGACACTTTTCGTGCAACGCAAGCGACTTGCGTTGTGCTGCGACAGATGTTCCTAACGTTGTAAATAGAGATTCTATTCTGCGGAGTAACGTGTACTAAATCCGTGACTCTTGACCAGATCCGAGAAGAGCCCAGTCAATCAGAGAAGAATAAATTACATCATCGAATTTCTGACTTACGATATATTTAAGTACAAAGCACGCGGGCTCTACGAGATACACAAGTACATGTTCATTCTGTTGATGACGCTAAAGATCGATCTGCAACGCAACAGCATCACGCACGAGGAGTTTCAGTATTTTATTAAAGGCGGCGCGGCGCTGGACCTAAAAGCGGTCGAGCCGAAACCTTGTAGATGGATCACGGATGTAACGTGGCTTAATCTAGTCGCGCTGTCGAAATTACGACAATTTCAGTATATCGTGTCTCAAGTACCCGCTTCCGAGAAAGCTTGGAAATCTTGGTTCGACAAAGATGCACCAGAGGAGGAAGTTATACCAGATGGTTACAACACGTTGGATACGTTCCGTCGATTGCTGCTGATAAGGTAATCTTCGAGTAAGATAATTTTCACAGAGAAAGAGAGAGAGAGAGAGTTAAAAAATTTAAGGGGTTACACCACCTTGAGCGCCTAAAAATCATAGGTAACTTTGGGAATTTTTTTTAGGAAAACAATAAAAGTAATACAAAATTCGTTTTAAGGCTTTAATAATACATGTCTTTAGAAGTAAAAAATATTTTTTTCATTAATTTTTTTAATAAAATGACGACGCTGAAGCCATTTTATTAAACGTCGTTTTTGTAGCCGCTGTCAAATCGGCGTTGCGGGGATCTGTCATTCGATTGAACCTGGAGCAATAAACCAAAA